GACATGCTTTTTGGCTAGAACAAATTAGCATTCCTATATCATTAGATAGAAATAATAAATTCAAGAACCAGTGCAAACAAAAAAGGAGTGTGAATAGCATTTTACAATTAATCAAGGGAGGCATCTTGGCACCTCATTTTTAAAAAGAAGCAAAACTGTGAAAAATTGTAAGTGCCTGCTATTTTTCTACATGCTATCTATTCATAAATAGTGAGGTACTATTCTAACACAAATTCATCCATTCAGCAAATAGTCTGTGAATATCTATTATATGCTAGGAACTCTGATAGGCCCGTTGGATGTATAGTGGAATTTAAAGTCGGCAAAAATTGTGAAGTATAAATATCCTATAAGGCATCCATAAAGTACAATATACATTACTTTGTACATAAAATTCAATCTGTAATTGCTTTTCTCAATGAAATTGGGCTAGATCCAGGGAAAGCATGTAATAATGGAATGTATATAAGTGTCTGATTATTTAAAGCATCAAGGCTTTAAGGGAATTATCAAGTCTTTAGCTACAGGTATATGAATGAAAGACCAAATTTTCCTTCTGGCCCACAGCATTTATTTCACATTTGTAGAACAATACATTGTTTTAACATTTAAATATAAAGAATATTAATTCATGCTAATGCATTTATTTTGTTTTGATTTTGAAGTGTAAACATTGTAGTAGTATCCAATTGGGAAGTGGGGCAGTTAAAGTCATGGTGATGAGTTTGCTTATACTGTCTTGAAGGTATTCATTATTGCTCATAAATTTACGGTTAGCTGAGTAATGTTTATGGCTTCATCTGGGCTCTATGTGTGACTGCAGTTAACTGTGAGAGGCAGAAAGGCAACTGTGTTGATCTTCATTGAGTGCTCTCACATAGTTGAGGTTAAGTAGTCTAAGATGGCCTTATCTGGAAAACCTGGGTGCTCTCATCCTTCACATGGTGATGATAGTGTTCTAAGACAGAGTAGAAAGGAAGTCCTCACTTCCACCACATCCTATTAAGCAAAGGAATCACATGGCTGGTGCTACACAGGAGTAGAAGGGAACTATCAAATTACAAAGCAAAGGAAGTCATCAAAGCAGCCAGTCTGTCACTCCTCCAAACAGGCAAGCACCATTGATCCTGTGCCATAATGGGCACATATACCAAGGTTTGTAAGAGTGCTGAGGCAAAGGACCCCTTAAATTTTCTTAGAGCAGAGAGTGTGCTGACTGGATTGACACCTTTGAAAGAAGTTAACATTTTTCCTTCAGAGTCATTGCATGTTCCTTTCCTACACACAGTTGAAGAGCTAGTGTGGTCTGCCTTAATTTTCTTGTTTTACTTTCATACTATTGACCTGTTGGTCTAGAAGGCCTAGGCACAATGCCTGCATGGTACAACAAGCCACAGTAAATACTCAGTTCTGTTGCCAGAGAAAAACCATAAATCAAGAAAATGGCAAGTGTAAGTGATTAACACTGAAGCTAAAACCCAAATCTCCTTGTGCTCTCTTCTGGAATTCTGTGACAGCAACACTTTCTTGAAGGAACATCTTGTGATCACTGCCAAGAGGACTGAGTGACACAGTACTACCATGCTTAAGTATAAAGTAAATGAGCAATTTGGGGATGGGGGATAGGGGATTTAAATGGGACAGCATCCTTTCATAGACTTCAATGCTTCATGTGAAAGCATTTGGAAAATTCAACAGTCTGGGGTGCCTGGGTGGTTTAGTTGGTTAAGTGGCCAACTTCGGCTTAGGTCATGTTCTCACAGTTCACAAGTTTGAGCCCCATGTCAGGCTCTGTGCTGACAGTTCAGAGCCTGGAACCTGCTTTGGATTCTGTGTTTTCCTCTCTCTCTGCCCCTACCCTGCTTGCACTCTGTGTCACTCTCTCAAAAATAAATAAATATTTTTAAAAAAGAAAGAAAGTTCAATACTCTTCAAGAAAGAGTAATATCAGTTGGTCAAAGGAGGATAGGAATAGTTTTGAGATACTGGGGCTGAGCAATTTGGGTCTAGAGAGAGTTATCCCAATCCAGTGACAAAAAGAGGCTAAAGGAAGAACTAGTATTACCGTTTCATGGTAAATCCCATATTTTCTGAAAGGCTTCCTGAAAGGCCAGGCCCCAGAAAACCAGGAATCATCTTGGGGAGTTTCCACAGTACCCAACAGAGGTGTATCTCACTACACAAGCACTTTTCTGATCCTGGATATGATTTTTTGCCTCATGAAACTTCCTACCACACCACTCTTATACTCACAAATTTTAAGAGATAATCCTACATAACCTCATTATACACAAAGTTTCTTGGGATCAAAACAATATAAATACTTTCTGACTAAACCACATAAATAAATAAGCCAAAATATTTCTTCCAGTCTTTGTTCAGTCTCAAAGTTTGTTCTCTCCTGAATTCTTGTGGTATCCAAATACTTTGCCAGTGTTTTGCAATAACATTTCTACTGACCTATTTTTGGCAAAAATAATTAAATTTGCCTGAATTTGGCAATGGAATGTTTAATGGCTTATTTTTTGTCCACAAATAGAATGTTTTCTTTTAATTTTTATGTCACAATAGGTAGTTTATGCTTATAGTACACAGCTTCAAATGTTTGTACGCACAAGTTATACATTCTACCTGATCCCCTAACTCTTCAATTTCCTCCTCAAAAGGAGCAACTGTTACCAGTTTTGTTTTTCTCTGAGAGCAGTTCTTTGAAAATCAATCAAATGGTTTATACAAACTCCATTTTACACAAATAACATGCCACTACACAAAATTGCACCTTGCCTTTTTCACCTAAAATGATTTTGGAGTTCATTATTATTATTTCATTACCTACAGACTCCCTCATTCAATTTAATAGCTAAGTAATAATACTTAGACGGATGAATCATAGTTTATTTTATTAGCTCACTATCAGTGTACATTTGGGTAAAAAAAAGTTGAAAGCTTAAATTAGTAACAGCCAATGGTTATGATCATTAATTTCTCTTAGAACACAATCTTGAATTGGCATGTCCTACATAGAGACCAAGGTTTATTCTTCTGAAGCTGGAGGGAAGCCCCTAATGAAATTTATGACTTCAGGCAAACCAAAACATAACTTTATCCTTGGCGTTTTGTAAATATTTTTTTACTTTCTCACCTTCTCATATTTCCTCATGCCCTTTTCCGGAAATCCAACCCTTCTTAATTTTCACCAATTATCAGTACTCTTCCTGTTAAAACCCAACTGTCAAATTCCTTCTTGAAGATTTCCATCATGGCCCTTATCACCACAGAGAAGAACTTGATTTTTTTTCTGTTTATTTTAGAGACATATTTGTAACTTCTTCTTATCTGAATTATGGTTCTATAAGTATTAATGCATGCCTCATGTCCTTTGCCAGATTGCATACCCATTGAGGGTAGTGATATATAAAATATAGGGCTGTCCTTTACAGGACTATCAGAAGTCCTTACATGTATTTGTGCTTAATAAATACATGTTGTATAAATATATCCTCAGGTGTTATTCCATTGGAATAACAATTATAGGACCATAAACTACAAGTAACTATGAGTCCTACTCTTAAAATTACTATTAGATATATGTTGGATGGATCATTTAAACTCTTAAAGCATTTGTATTTTAAAATGGGAATAAAATATTGAGATCATCTGTATCACTGGCTTGTTGTGAGAATAAAATGAAATAGTTTTATGTTGAAAATCTCAGCATTAGGAGAAACTCCAAGGTATCCTCGTCCAATCACCTATCCATTGCTCAAAATCTCCATATATCAATATCTCGATAAATAAACAATAAATTTACACGTAAAAATTTCCAGAGGCATAAAAATATCTCAGTCCAGTATAGAAGCCCATTTTATGTTTGTGTAGCTCTGACTACTGCTACTGAGTGGGCACACAGTGAAATCTGTATTATGCTACTTCATAATGAATAGTTTGCTACATCTGATTGGTGATTGGTTGCCAACCTCTGAAGCAGGCTCACTCTGGTCATTTAATAAACTGTTCAGTAACTCAATCCACATTTTACAGGATTGGATTCTCTGGACCACATTGATAATGTTGTTGCAAGATTCTTCAATCTTAACTAATCCTCATGATGATTCAATGAACTATAAAAAGTATTCTGTACCTTCTTGCTTTAGTATATGCAATAAGCTGTGCTAGAGCGTTGTGTAACTAGTGAGTTTCACATTGGGTCACTTAACTTCTGTAGTCAAACCAAACCTATCCCAAACATCCTTGGTCATTAACTAACAAGTAATGTATATGAAAACATTTTCAAAGTACCATAACCAATAAAAAGGGCTAATGTTATTAATAATTATATTTTTGCTTTCTCAGTCATATTTTGCTTTCTCATTTTGCTTTGAGCATAAGAAGCAACAAATTTCAAAGGAAAAGTGATTTTGAATTGTTAAAACTTATACTTTAAGAGTATATTCTACACAAGGATAAAATTAATTCATACATATCATCATTCCAGAGTTAACTATACTCTCTATTGAAAAAATAGTGGTAAGACTAAATTGTTTGGTAATTTTCTGTCACAGTATACCAGAATATGAAATACTATATTTCAAAGCAGACTGTACCTGGCTGCATTGAGCTCCTACTTGAATTTATGTGTACCTCTCCTTATCAAACACAATAAGCAGTTGGAACAACTTTAAATGTGAAAATTATGAGGTGTTCAATGAAGATCTAGAAAACTCAAAAATCTCTAGCATCATTATAGCAGAAGTATAGATAACGTAATACATAATCCAAAACAGTTTTCCATTTCACCAAATCATGCCACAGAAACACTCATATTTGCTTAAATCTATGCTTCTGTAGGCATCTGTCACTCATCCCCTTCTTATATTACTGCTATAACTGGGCAACTAAAAAGATCCCAAATAATCAGGAATATTTTAGTCTTCCAAAACCTGAATTTTTAACTGAGATCTGTAATAAAACATACATCAATGAATGTAAAGGATGCTTACCTTCTGTGTGCACAGCTGACACATAGGTCCAATTGTACCTCTTCACTATGTCCACCATGGCCCGTGCCTGCTGGGCATCTGAAGGAACAACCCTCATGAAGTACTTGAACAGAGTCTTGTCGCTCAGATCCATGCTTGTTGCCGAGTAAGCAATCTGAGGTATGTTGAAAAGCTGGAGCAAGTTCTGGACCTGAATGGCCACAGAACTGGAGCCAGGCCCAATGACCCCTACAATGGGCTTCTTGGAACGGAAGGAAGAGGAAGACCCATCCACACAGCGCACCAAACCTTCTTCTTCTTCTGAAGAAATGAGGGAGTCCCTGATGAACTCAATGCTCTGCTCTAGGGCCACAGCCGAATGCCAGCAGGAATCCCTTATCTCACAGCCCAGTGTGATGTTGGGCAAGAGTGTGGGGTCTGAGTTGATCCTTTCCAGAGTGTGCAGCATGGCCTCCACTCTCTGAATGCCATACTGTTCACGAACTGCCCCACACTTCCTCTCATGAACTTTGTCCACCGTGGGCTGATGGTGAACAGAAAAGAGAGCTCCAATAATGATGTCACCTGGCATGTGAGCCACCACCCTCCTTTCACTGGACTGTGCACTCCCACGGACATCTTCTTTCAAAAGCAGAACTGACAGGATCAACAGAAGGACCATTTTAGGAAAAGAGTTCAAGCTAATAAAGACAGCATGGTGGGGAAAATTTAGGAGACTTCTGATAGATAGAATCAAACAATGTCCTATGTTGGGTGGCAAACCAAGGAATTAGCCAGTAATTTAGATGTGCTCTCTAAAGGACCACCATGTCCCCACGTACCATTTAGTTAGATGCATCCATGTGATCATGATCTTCAAAACCTGGAAAAAAAATAGCATGTGCATTTAACAATGTAAGTGCAGCTACTTTGAGAAGCTCTAATGGTCTATACTAATAGACTTTGATGATATAGATTAAGATTATAATCTTTTTTAAAAAAGAATCTAAAAATATTTCAGACTCTCCTTTGTCTGTATCTGTTGTAATTTTGTGGTTGGATGAAGCAATCTGATAGAGATTTCACTTCACTTATATTATTTCACTTCACTTATATTAATACTATTTCACTTATATTAATGTTTGTTTCATTTGTTCTTCTGGAGTACACGAAAACAAATCTTATGCATGGCAGGCCAAACTATATTCTTATGTGAAGATGAGAGAAAGCATCCTAAAAGCAAAACTATGCCATGATCAGAAAACTTCAGGGAGTATGCACTCCAAAATTATAAACATTAGTTATCTCTGGATGATTGTATTTTTTGTTTTTAAAAAACTAATTCTGGGCAGTAAGCATGTATTAACTATGAAATTGCAAAAAATAAAGTTACTTTAAAGAAAAGCTACATAGTCCCTCTTCAAATGCAGGGTAAGACAAGTTGAACAATCTCCCCAATAAATAAGTATTGTGTCTCATTTCCATATAATATAGTACAAAGACATTATGAGGTCAGGTAGGTATTTCCACGCTAAATGAACTACAGGAAAGGAGGGAGAGACTTGGGATATTACAGAGCAAAATGTTCCCTAAGTAGGTAGAAAGACCATAGGGAAATGGGTACCAGTTTGTGGAAAAAATAATATTCAGTTCAAATTCTAGTTCTGCTATTAAGAATTATTAATAAACTGTTTAACCTCTCAGTACCAGAGTTTCCTCATCTGAAAAGTCCCATCATATGTACCAGGATACCTTTTTTTTTTTTTTTTTTAATTTTTTTTCAACGTTTATTTATTTTTGGGACAGAGACAGAGCATGAACGGGGGAGGGGCAGAGAGAGAGAGGGAGACACAGAATGGGAAACAGGCTCCAGGCTCTGAGCCATCAGCCCAGAGCCTGACGCGGGGCTCAAACTCACGGACCGCGAGATCGTGACCTGGCTGAAGTCGGACGCTTAACCGACTGCGCCACCCAGGCGCCCCCATATGTACCAGGATACCTTATGGGAATCAACATAAGATATCAACTATGCAAATGTCTTGTATATTGAATAAGACTATATATATATTCAGGACATGACCTTTTCTGTTATTAAATTTCCAAGGGCATTCTGTAGCTAGGTAGTGAGGACAGAAAATTCTCTGGCAACCTACTCAGTCCTCCAGAGTCTTCAAAGTAATTACAGAGTCCTGTAATAAAATTCACAGTAATCAGTCCTCTATCTCTGATTCAGGAAAAAAAAATTACATATCAAGAAGACCCAAAGGGCTGCAGGGACGCATGTTTGGAATTATCCTTCCAAGTAGAAACTTAGTACAGCTTTGAAAGTAGTCATCTATTTCAGTTTAAACTCCTGGGAAAAAGGGATTTGTCCCAAGTTGCCTACAGCAAATTCTAGCATAGTTTGTAAAAGGGAACTGACAAATTAGTGATCTGGATTATTGAAAGAATAAGAGACTTATTTTGTATGTTGTCCTCTCTGCCAGCCAAGGATCTCAACTTGCTTTGAACTAATTCCCTAGGGCACCTGGGTGGCTCAGTGGGTTGAGTCTCTAACTCTCAGTTTTGGCTCAGGTTGTGATTTTGTGGTTTGTGCGTTTCAGCCTTGAATCGGGCTCTGCACTGACAGTGTGGAGCCTGCTTAGGATTTCTCTCTCCCCCCTCTCTCGTTTTTTTATGGCAAAACAGAAAGTTTCCCTTGCATAATGCTAAATATTAAAATTTTTAAAAAATCAAATAACTAGATGTCCCAGAATAACTAGGTGCTTAGCAATACTTAGGGCAAAAAATAAGTTTTGGTATAGAAGTTGGCACTGTAGACAAGGAGCACAGAATAAAGACTGATATCATTTTCTCTTTTGGGAAATTATCCGAATATTCTCAAGCATTCCCTTCACTTGCTTAAACCAAAGACCTAGAGATCGATGCTTATTCTCATAAACATGTGAATTCTACTGCAGACAAAAAAAATCTTAGGTAAAAGGAATTACAGTGTTTTACTAAATCCACAATGTTAAGGAACAAACCCAATAACAAAATGAGACTCATTTTTATTACATAAGAGCATCAAAATGATATGCAAGACTAGAGGTGGGCTATCAAAATGATGAAACTAAAGTAGTCCCATGAATTTTATTTGTTAAAATTATTTTAGATAAGACCTATATATTGAGACATAACATATATACATATATATGTAAATATATAACACTGAAATAGTCCTTCCTATTATTTAGCTCCCTATAAGTTAAATTAATGATTTAACTCATTCAAGATATATCTACTATTGAGTGGGAAAAACTAATGTAACAAAGAAGCACAATGATGTACATTGATAATTGCCATCATTATCTTTCATTGAACACCCATCATACACCAGACACTTGTTCATTAACTCATTTAACAAATATTTATGGCTCATGCCTATGCTATGATTCTGTCCTGGAAATTAAATACGCAAGAGAGAACAGGTTGTACATGATTCCTATACTCATGGGGCTTGCAGATCAGTACTCTAAAAGGTGACTTTAGCTGGAGCCTGGTAAATGCAAAGAACAACAAAATAAAGAATGAAAAGAAGTCATTCATGTGAAAAGTGTGGCTAGAGCATAAAGAATGGGAGCAATAGTGGTACAAGATGAGGCTGCAAACATAAGAAAGGGCCAGACCATGTAGGATCCTGTAGGCTCTTGCAAGGAATTTGGATGTTAAGTGCAACAGAATGCCATTGAGGAGACGTAAACAAATGAATGGCACAATTCAATCTTAGAAAAGGTTGTTCTAGCTACTCGCTGTTCTGGATAATGTACAGAAGAAATCTGATTAGAAGACATAAATAATCTAAGTAAGGAATTATAGTGCCTTGGCTATTACTGGGGACAGTAGATATGAAAAGAAGTGGACACAATCAGATATATTTTGCAAGCAGAAACAGCTGGACTTACTGATAGACTGGATGTGCATAACAAGGTAGAGAGAAGTTAGGTTTTGAGTCTAAAAATTAGTGTACTTTGGTACCATTAAAAGATATGGGATCTACTGGTACAGAAATGGATGGAGGCAGAGAAAAACATAGTAATTTTCTTTTGAACACGCTAAATTTGAGATACTTTTAAAGCACCTATGTACAGGTGACAAACAGGAAGGTGGGTATATAAGACTGGACCAAAAGGAGTGTTTGGGGTTAGACATATAAACTGAGGGTCACCAATACATAAAATCTTTGCAATGAATATAGTCACCTGGAGAGCAAGTATAAGTAAAGAAAAGGTGTAGCTGAGAAGTAAGCCCCACAGAGACGTCAGATTGTGGAAAAGCCAGCTAAGGAAACAAAGGCAAATCAGAAAGTAAGGAGAGAAAGTAAGAACATGTGATGTAAGAAACGCCAGAAGAGGATGTCCTGGGCACTTTATATTTACAGACATTACACAAGGCTTGCAGGTTGCAAAAAATAAAATACATTCTGTCCTCCCCAAGATATTATTTTCAAAATGCATTGAGTATCTGCATGTGGCATGTGTGTGGCAAGAATCCTTGTGACAACCCTGAGACATAAGTATTATTTTATTATCTCTACTTTACAAATGATGTGGAGGGTTTGATAAGTTGAAAATTATCTGGTCACTCATAGCATAACATATAAAGTTACTGAATCATTGTATTGTATACTTAAAACTAATGTAACATTGTGTGTCAACTATACTCACATACATACATACGTACATACATACATACATACATACATACACTAGCTCATCACTTAGAAAGTGATGGAGCTAGAATTTATGTCTATGCCTAGTGACTCCATCATACACTCTTTTCATTATTCCTTGCTGCCTTACTGTCCCTTCCTTCTACTTCAAAAGTCCATGAAAAACAAGAAGGGCTAGCCAAACACAGTTTGAACATCCCAGGGATATAGAATCTTATAGGAGTTTCCTTGAAAACTAGAGAGTGAAGAAAATTTCAGGAAAAGAGATAATCCAGCACTTAGAATGTCGAAATGTGTATAACTGTCTAGTACAAAAGTATTTATATTGCCCTAGTATCCCCACTAGATTATGGCCTGCTAGATTATAAAGTAATGACTGCTTTGTAATCCTCCCCAGATGTACACAATGGCTATATTTCATCAATATTAGCTATGAAGCTCAGATACCTGAAAAATACATTTTAAAATAAAGTATGACTTGGAAATTTGACAGAATTGTGCTACAACTTAGCTTATTATAAGGTTAAACAAGTGAGCCCATGTGTTCCCAAAATATAAGAAGTTAATAGAACACAAATTCCAAATAGACTAGTAGGGTATACACTAGCTCTAGCACCATCACTCATCTGTCCAGCACGTGTTTATCAGTACCTGTTCTGTACCAAGCACTCTTCCAGGCCCTGTGGTTTCAGTTATCAACAAAGTAGACATAAATCCGTGTCCTCCTAAAGCCTATACTCTAAGGTGGGGGTGGGGGGTGGGGGAAGAGGGATTGTCAGGCAATAACCAAGATAAAGAGGTAAAATATTGTATGTACACAGTAATAAGGGTTAAAAAGAAACAATACATCAGGGAAGGAAGATAGAAAGTGTTAGAGACATGGGGGAATTTTAATAATGTAGCCAAAGAAGTAGAAACTTTAGGGGCTCCTGGGTGCCTCAGTCGGTTAAGCGTCCAACTTCGGCTCAGGT